AAGGTGATGTATCAATGAGAGTTATGACAATCCAATTCAAGGGATAACCATGACGAAATATGAAATATGTGAAAGGGCATCTTGTTACTGCAATACGTTAAAGGTTTGTTTTCTTCTTCTTTGCATTAATTAACCACGATGAGCAACGTAAATAGAGTTGACTTGGGATATCTTGAATTCGTTCATAGACTTGCAGGAGAGGAAATAATATTAAATGTCATTAAAACACCTATATTTATATCAGTTTAGTTTCACTAAAATTTGAACAATTTTGTTTTTCGAAGTAATGTAAAATATCAGTGATAGTATACTTTTACTACAATCTGTCTTTCTTTCCTACAGGTGTACTGTAGTCCAGATCGAACTCAGAATACACGTATCAGAGTACCTGGTGTCACCTTCAAGTGCAATTTTGTTGTTCCCATAATCAACACTTTGAAACTTCATTTGTTGAAGACTACTGAGTTAATTCGACAGTGTTTACGTTATCCTCCTGGATTCGAAATGGATTACTTTCTGGCAGTTATTGATGGGATATAGATTATAATATGTGGTGATTTGGGACTTGCTGAAAGTTTATGAAATTTGATATTTTTGTGATTGACATGAGGAAAACTCTGCAGCCGATTCATATTATAATGATTATAATAAATATATATGTAAATATACATTTTGTATTTTTAATTTAAAAATTCTTTAATAAAGCCTTTTAGAAATATTCAATGAAGTTTTGATATTAAATTGTCAGCTTAATATTATTTTCGTAATAATTTTGAAGATTAAAAGTTTGTTATCTATGTGTACGTTATAAATTATGTGTCATTCTGATTGAATTGTTGAGACTAATCAAATCTATTCAGTTCCATCTCCTACATTATTTGTGTAAATTATGTACATGTACATCGCACAGCGTCCATTGTATTGTATAATTAAATACATATCCCAACGTTCAGTGGCTTTATGGAAAATAATTAATATTGGTTACATATTTTGAAAATTTTAATAATTATGCGCATTTAAAAAACATATACTTTTTGTGCCTAAGTTTACGAGAGTGTTTTATTTTTCTGCAGGTACAAATTTTACTTATGATGTGTTTAGACTTTAAACACATTTGCTCTTATGTGTTTAGAATTTAAACACTTGTGTTTATGTGTTTAGATATGTTTAATTTCTAAGCACACAAGTGTTTAAATTCTAAACACTTTCCAAGACATGTTTAGGAATTTTACATGTTTAGAAATTAAACATATAAAAAAGGAGGTGACAAGAAAGTGTTTAGAAAAGTGTTTGAATTGTAAACACATTTTTTACAGTGTAGCCATGTTTAAAGACAAAAAATATTTTTAAAAAAAAGGCCGAATGAAATAACAAATAAATAAATACAATAATTAATAAATAAATTACACACTGTTTAAATAACGCAGCCTGTTTGTTTTTTTTTTTTTAATCTTTGTCTTCAGATAATATATGTGATCAACTCCCAATTAACTCTAAGGCATTAGATTAGGATTGGCTCACTGGTCAGTTTCAGAGTCATAGTAACCTTGTTATGCAATTTTTGGGCAGCACGTTTTAGTGTATAGTGGTTTGCAGCTTATCTAGGACAAAATTTGAATTCTGATCAACAAGATGTGCGCGTTTTCTTGTTGCCAACTTAAAAGGAAAGACTTTGCATCATATAAGCAACAAAAATAAGCGCTGGACTATTAACTCTGCTCGGTGAGTACAATTCCTTTATCATAGTCTTTAAAAAAAGAGAAAAAAGAGAGAGAAAAAAAGAGAAAAAAAAGACTTTTCTAGCTTCTACCAGTACATGATTGAATTTTTCTTTGTATATGTGAAGAAAAGACAACATGGATTTGAATTGAAAACTTAATTTAAGCATCAAATTTTTCTCTTTGATTCAAGTATTCGTTGTATATGTGTAATGTTAATCATTATATAAAATATTTATTAAAAATGAAATTCTTTTGCAGCTAGTTGTCAGTTCCATCTACATGATCAACATATTTGAATTTCATTCAAACTGCCACATTCGAAAGACCCGCCTTTGGTGAAGGCAAAATTTGTGTACGTTAATAATATTACATTTCAACAAAATTATCCTCACGGTGATTATTCTAATTCTTTTCATTAATTAAATGGGGAATGTAGTATTCCGGAATTCTGTAGACTTGTACCTTTTGGTTTTAAATGTTACTCAGGTACTTCCGTAATAAATAGTTTGTAACCGCATGGAGCTGTGTTATAAATCTCATTTATTCGAGTGAATACACAACATATCTGGCGACGAGGATGGCCACTGGACGTATAGGAAGAGTCGATGTGTTCGATCCGGCAATCGAAACATGGACAACCTACGAAGAAAGGGTGGACAATTTCTTCACAGCAAACGCAGTGGACGACAACAAAAAAGTTCCCGATCTACTGAGCCTCGTGGGCCCCAAAACATACGCATTGTTAAGAGACTTAACAGCGCCTGAATTACCCAAGGCTAGGACGTACAAGCAACTTACGAAAGCACTGAAGGACCACTATTCTCCAAAACCGTTGGTTATAGTAGAAAGGTTTAGATTTCACAAGCGGGACCAGCAGGAGGGTGAGAGCGTCCGTGAGTACATTGCAGCTCTTCGTAAACTGAGTGATTTCTGTGAATTTAAAGACGTCCTTAATGACACACTACGGGACAGATTTGTTTGTGGATTGAAAAATGAACATATTCAAAAGAAACTTCTCTCGGAGAAAAACCTCACTTACCAAACTGCGCTCGAGATAGCCATTGCGATGGAGACAGCGACTAATGACGCCCTGGAGATTCAAAGGAAACACCTTTCCATCACGTCCGGTGTCAACAAACTAAGTGTACCCAAGGGTAAGAAAAGAATTCAACAAAAACAAACTACGGTAGCCCAGAGGTGCTACAGATGTAACGGAAACCATACCTCAGATGACTGCAAATTTATCCATGAAACATGTCGACAGTGTGGGAAAAAGGGGCATATACAACGAGCATGCCGTTCCAAACCAGCCACCATGAAACCACTACATACAAACAGTAAACATGTTCATGAAGTGGAAGTATCGGATGATTTCGAACCAATGTTTTCACTATGCTATGCTATGGGAGGACTAAAGGATGCAATATGGATAAAGCCCCACGTGAATGGTCAAGAATTTCCCATGGAACTGGACACAGGATCAGCGATTTCAGTAATCAACCGGAAAACTTATCAGCAAAATTTTTCCAATGTAAGGTTGATAGACACCGACATAAACCTAAGAACATACTCAGGAGAAAATATCACCCCACTAGGTGTATGTTAAGTCAACGTAGAGATGGATGATCAGCAACAGCAGTTAAACTTGTATGTGGTCGACAAAGGGGGACCACCTTTATTTGGTCGAGAGTGGCTAAAGAACCTCAGACTAAACTGGGTAGAAATCAAGACATTAGAAACTAGAAAACAAGGCGTAAGCGAAGTGATTGAGAAGTACAAAAACGTGTTCACTGATGACCTGGGCAGGCTAAGGGACATATCAGCCAGAATAAAAGTAGAGGAGTCGGCGACGCCCAAGTTTTGCAAAGCTCGTGTGGTACCGTATTCGTTGCGCTCCAAAGTTGATCAGGAACTGGACCGTCTTATCAAGACTGGAATTCTCAGTAAGGTAGAACACAGTGAATGGGCTACTCCCATTGTTTCAATACCAAAAAAGGATGGAACTGTGAGAATTTGCGGTGACTTCAAAGTCACAGTGAATCCCGTCTTGGACATAGACCAGTATCCTCTACCCAAGATCGAAGACATATTTTTAAGTCTGGCGGGAGGTCGACAGTTTACAAAACTGGACTTGAAGAATGCTTATCTTCAAATGATGGTGAGAGAAGAGGACAGACATTATCTCACGATAAATACTCACCGTGGTCTATTTCAGTACAACAGGCTTGCGTTCGGAATAGCCTCGGCACCAGCGATATGGCAGAGAGCCATGGACACAGTTCTTCAAGGACTTGAGGGAGTACACTGCAACATGGATGATATGATCATTACTGGGAGAACACTTGAAGAACACCTGAAAAACTTAGAACAAGTCTTGAAGCGACTTGACCGTTACGGGTTAAAAGCAAATGTTGACAAGAGTGAGTTCCTAAAAGACAAAATTGAATTTTGTGGCCATGTGATAGATGCAGAAGGACTCCACAAAACATCAAAGAAAATCGAAGCTGTGCTAAATGCTCCAGAACCAAAGAATGTGTCTGAACTCAGAGCTTTCTTAGGACTCGTAAATTACTATGGACGTTTCATGGAGAACTTGTCTACTCACTCAGCGCCCTTATATGACCTTCTGAAGGATAATTCCAAATTTGTATGGTCAAAATCATGCAGAGCAGCATTTGAGAAGATCAAGGAACTTGTGACGTCAGACCAAGTGCTCGTGCACTATGATCCCCAGAAGCCCGTAACACTGGCAACAGATGCTTCTCCCTATGGACTGGGAGCTGTGCTGTCTCACGTGATGCCGGATGGTTCTGAAAAGCCGATTGCTTTTGCATCTAGATCACTTAGTCAAACAGAGAGGAAGTATGCACAAATTGATAAGGAAGCGCTAGGATTAGTGTGGGGGGTGAAGAAATTTCAGGCATACTTGTATGGGAGAAAGTTCACCTTAGTGACTGATCATCAACCTCTAGTATCTATTTTTCATCCCGAGAAAGGACTACCTGTGACTACAGCAGCTAGACTACAGAGATATGCGATTTTTCTATCAGGATTCCAATACGATATTCGATACAAAAACACAAAGAAACACAGCAACGCTGATGCCTTATCAAGACTTCCTGTTCCAACAGAAGGCGAAGGATCCAATGAAGAGGCTTATGATGTAACTGAACTGTATATGATTCAGCAACTTAGCTGATTAAGCTTAGCTTAACAGTTAGTAGTAAAGAAGTTCAGAGAGGAACCGTAAAAGACACCACTCTGAAAGTGGTATATGACATGACAGCTTCAGGATGGCCAGCATCTGCAAATAACCTAAGTGAAGAACTGAAAGCATACTTTTCTCGCAGAAATGAGATCTCAATTTATCAGGGATGCTTACTATGGGGAATTCGTGTTATCATTCCCCAGGACCTTCGTTTGCGTGTCCTAGAGGAACTTCATGAAGGACACCCGGGGATTGTCAAGATGAAAACTGTGGCTCGAAGTTTGGTATGGTGGCCAGGTATCGACAAAGACTTAGAAACACTGGTGAAACGCTGCAAGGGTTGCCAGGAGAACCGACCCATGCCACCAGAAGCACCTGTTCATCCGTGGGAATGGCCCCAACGTGCATGGCAAAGGATACACGTAGACTTCGCTGGCCCGTTCCAAGGAAACATGTTTTTCGTCGTGGTCGATGCATTCTCAAAATGGCCCGAAGTTGTCCAGATGTCGACAACAACTGCAGGCCGCACAGTGGATGTACTGCGTAGGATATTTTCAAGGAACGGTCTACCAGATCAACTAGTCTCGGACAACGGACCGCAGTTTGTCTCAGAAACCTTCCAAGACTTCATGAAGTACAACGGAATTCGTCATACTACGTCAGCTCCGTATCATCCGAGAACAAATGGGCTAGCAGAGAGACTAGTCCTGACGCTGAAACAGTCAATGCGTGCTTCGAAAGTGGAAGAAACTTCCATCACTAAGCGTCTTGCCAACTTCCTACTCACATACAGAAGTTCGCCGCATTCAACAACAGGGAAAACACCGGCTAAGCTTTTCTTAGGACGTGAACTATGTACAAGACTCACACGACTGAAGCCGAATGTTCGCAACACAGTGGAAGCTAAACAAGAGAGCATGCATTACCGCACATCCGAACCCGTTCGACAGTTCAATACCGGTGACAAGGTTGCTGTGCGTGACTATCGCAGCAATAATGAGAAATGGGTGTCAGGGAAAATAGACTCAAAAACAGGACCTCTTTCGTACAAAGTGGAAATTACACCAGGGACAACATGGCGGCGTCATACAGACCAGATAAGATCTGCAGATTTCACCAACTCTGCAGATACATTGATACATGATGATACATTGGCGGCCGAAACATCAGACCCTACCAAGAAACAATCACCAGAACTGACCCCTATACCGACATATGCACCCGCAGCAACTTCCGTGTCCGAAAAACGCTATCCAACCCGCACCACTCGAAATGTTCTGCCAAAACGTTACCAGTAGTAATAATAGACTGACAATTTTTTTTATATGCATGCAGTGTTTGATTATTAGAAGCTGTAATGTTTTGTGATTTTTTATGTTACATGTAACCAAGTAGTGCAAAAAAATGTTCACCTTTTTTTTTATTCTTCTTGAAATGTGAATTTAGATTGTTCACAAGTCTAGTCAAAGTCTAGTCATGAATGTATTAAAGTCAATATGCAGATGTCCATTAATATTGATATTCCTTCTACTAGTCAAAATTTGATTTTTTATTAATCATTGAAGTATGAACTATGTGTCCATCACATTTAAAGGGGGAGGAATGCAGTATTCCGGAATTCTGTATACTTGTACCTTTTGGTTTTAAATGTTACTCAGGTACCTCCGTAATAAATAGTTTGTAACCGCATGGAGCTGTGTTATAAATCTCATTTATTCGAGTGAATACACAACAGGGAAAGTACTTGAATATTTCATATTTTCATCATCTAAAAATAATTATATGTAGATCGATGAATAAACACCATTTTCTCTACGTTTCTTTTCAGGTTGTGCTATACAAAACAAGAGCTTATATCCAAGGACAGACTACTTGGGAGCCTTTTCAGTGTTTGTGATTCTAAATACATATATATATATATATATATATATATTATACATAAATGAGAAGTCCATTGTCTATTTTTGCTAGAATAACTCGTATTTAGGAATTGAAATAATACTGTATTCATAATGAAATTCTGACCAGTATTAGCTGATTGTGATACATATTCAATAATTTGTTTGAATTTCTAGTAAGGGAAATTGATTAAATGTTTAACCATTAAAAGTATTTGTTAAAAATTAACAGTTCTCTTCTTCAAATTCTGATTTTCCTTATTTTTTTTTTCAAAATAATACTTTTTCATATAAAAATAAATTCTAACAATTGTAAATAAAACCTTGGGTTCGAGTTTACTTCAGTTTTGGGTACGACTTGACTTCAGTTGACTTTTTGGGTACGACCCAATCGCATCATCTCGGGCCTTTCCGTCAGAGGTCGGAAAAACAACCTCGAATGTATTAAATTTTGACTGAACTGCTCCAATATTCCCAACTCATTTAAACCCATAATTATGTGTAAGAATCTGATGCCACCCATATGATTTCATTGGGTAATTTGATCTATGGGTGACCCAATCAACTGATTATTGTTATCTATATGTCCTGACCCATTATCATAATTGTTTCTTGATTGTATTTATTCATCATAAATTATTATTTTATTGTTTTAATAAATTCATTTTTAAAGTTTAACAAATCTCTTTATAGATTAATTAAGGTAAATCTCAGGAATAAGAGGACCCACAAAATTTTTGTAACACCCAACATCAGGTCACGTTACACTACATTGACATAATATGCATTGAAATAATGTTAAAATATGGAGAGAAAAAAAAGCAACAGTGCACAACCAGCTCCCAGCACTTTTCAAAATAGTAGGGATGATAGCTACCTTTGTATAAAAATTCATAATTTATAGTGAAGCAGATATCGTTGAAATTTTGAGATTTTTGAGGGGCTGCCTGTCATTCTAGAACGTTGTATGTGCCTTACTGGAGCATTATATGAAGTCTACACATTTTCAATTTAATTAGACTATAAAATATTGATTAATACATTCAAGAATATGACTCAGTTTTGGTCAGATCACGCTTATTTTATTTTTATTTTATATTTACTAGCTACAATAATAGCTTGCTCTACGTCTCAAGTACAGAGAAACTGTCTGTCAAACTAGGGTGTGACGTCATCTTAGTCAGTGCAGCGAGATCTAGGTGGTTTTAATTCTACACTCAAATAGTGTTATTATGACATGATAAGTTACACATCAATTTATGTTTACAATATTTATGAGAAAAGACTGTATTTGAGTGTGTATGAAAAAGAACATTAGTATTTATTCGCTGAGATTTATTTGTACAGTTTTAATGTGACGTCAAAATCGATTTCCCGAAGCTCTGCATAGGCTGATGTAAGTATGGGAGTCATTAACCTAGCTGCGTATACAATATATAATTAGTTTTAATTACTTGTTTAATATACAGTATCAAATTATTTTTAATTATATTATATAATACCAAATTAGTTTTAATTACTTTACCCCAAATTTGTCTTGAAAGTTAGACTAGCCGACAAGAAAGATGACTTTAGCACATATTGCACTTGGCGAGCAGAGTTTTGACATTGTTTACGAAAATAAAAGAAAATAAAGACGAACATGCCATATATGGTTGTGTAGATAAATTATCATAGAAGACAATGGTAATAAAGAGTTTGCCAGTGCTTTTCCTCTGAAAGTGTAAATAAGTGCGATTCTGGGGGAGGGGAGTATATCATGTAATATGGAGTTGGATACCTTCTGTTAATATTATACTATGGGTTTAAAACTTATTACCGAAACAAGTGCCTGTGATACCGGCTATTAAAAATCCGTATGGGCCACTACCATTTTAGAATTAGTGGCCCCATCAGCTACCAGTTTTAAAGACTGATACTTTTAACCGAACAGCTTTCTCTGCATGGTGAGGGGAGGGACTTAGTTTTACAATGACGGTCGTGCAGATTGTGTATGCCGGCGATAATCCCTATACACACGCAGTATACACAGGAAGTCCATGTTACCTGTGGGGACTTTTATACCTATATTTCTAAAAGAAGATAATTTTTTTAATTGTAAGCTAGCTTATTGTGAGAAAATATAGCGTTATAACTGACATTCTGTCAACTTTTATGTCTTTAATCATCAAACAAACAGCATATAGACCTCTATAAATACAGCGGGAAATTCCAAAATATCAATGTACCTGTATTTAATTTCAATTATTTATAAACATAAAAAAAAGTTGTTACACAGTGCCTGGGAAGGTAAAACAACAGATGCGGGCCAATTAATGGCCCTGTTATTCCTAAAATGATAGGGTCATTTTGAAATTTAAGGGGCCTAAAGGAAATATATTCAGGTCATTCTAAAATATGTCATAGATTTGTGCTATTATAATGCATATATCTTTGACACCTAAATTTAAGAAGCTAAAGAATGCCATAGGAATTGACAAATCATACAACATTGACTAGCAAAAGTGATTTTTCTGTTTCTAAGAAATTCATAAATCATTCGTCATCTACCACAGCAAGTATTTAGGAAAACTACATTTGAACCAAACACATACTTTTTTTTAAATTGTCGATGAAAAATTTTAGAGATCAAGGGACAGGCAAAGATAAACTTTGATGATGTGGTATTTCATTGTAAGGTAAATTTTTATTCGTAAAGCTGTGGTCAGCCATTTAAAATGACTTGAGTCAACACTTCTTTGCCAATGGATGTCAATATGTTGAATGTCGGTTCCGATTTTTAATATGATACATTACAGATTCCATCTAACTTCGACGATGAATACTGTACCGATAGAGCAGACTGATATGAACTTTACGAAGTAGAAAACAAAGCCTTTGTGTACGAGTTGACTCCTCATTTTTAATCACGGGAAAACCTTTGTATACAAATCGATCTGTATATGGTATACCCAAACAGAAAAAAAAACAGCCTATGGAATCATGCTATTATAGATAGAAGCTATAGAAATAAACGATAAAGTATTTAATTCATTTTTATTGATTATAAATTGTACACGAAAATATTACAATACTGCATTTAATATGAAAAAAAATGTTAGTCAAGCACAACCCGATAATGCATAGCGAATAAGGAATCGCCTCACACTCTGTCGAGTTGTTTTGAAGTCGTAACTAGTTTTGAGTAGTTTCCTTATATTAACAGATGTAAGTCCAGATGCATGGTACTTAATAATAATATTTTGAATCTCTAGGTTATTTTCCGTCCTTCTTTAACGGGCGCTGCGTCGAAATAAATTAAAGAAAATTACTTACTGTATTTGGTCATTGCAAGATTCGGATTGCTTTCGGGGCGTGGCTTGCGTAATTATTTCAAAAATTATTCATGAACGGTACGGTTCGCTTTGTGCACGGTACGGTACGCTTCTTGTACGGTACGGTTCACTTTGTGCACTGTACGGTACGCTTCTTGCACGGTACGGTACGCTTCTTGCACGGAACGATACGGTTCCTCTCTGAGGTGTAGTAGCACGTTTTAGGGTCTGTATATAAAAATGTTCATGGTTTATGGATCACTGTCATATATACGTGTATGTGTCAGTTCATGGATTGTGGGTCACTGTCATTATAGATTGTTTGTTCTAACATTTTGCCTGTAGTTTCTTCATGACTTTTTTGTGTCATTGAGTTAAGACATTTGTGTTTTTACATACATATATATGAAAATCTTCATGGTTTGTGGATCACTGTCAAATATACGTGTTTTTGTCTGTTCATGGATTGTGGGTCACAGTCGTAGATTGTTTGTTCTAACATTTTTCCTGTAGTTTGTTCATGACTTTTTTGTTTCTTTGAGTTAAGACATTTGTGTATATGCATACATATATATGGGAATGTTCATGTTTTTTTTATCACTGTCATATATACATGTATGTGTCTGTTCATGGATTGTGGGTTACCGTCATAGAATGTTTGTTCTAACATTGTAGAAGTTTGGTTATGGCAGTTCAATTATACATGTGTTTATGATTTGTTGATCACTAAGTAAACATTACATTCATAGAATGTGGGTAACTGTTCTACGATTTTTTTGTATTAGAATGTGTCTGATTATGGTTTTTGGATCATATAGATATTTGTCTGTTCGTGTTTGTGGGTCACTGTTGTAAAATACTTGATTGTGAATACTATTATGTGTGTTTTCCTCACTTTGAGAAATAAATATATATATGTAATCTTTAACTTATAAAAGTGTTACCTTATTAGTGTTATCTTACCCCTGCAAATAAAGAGCCTGGGCCTAAATTTTTTTTTTTTTTTTTGCAGTTGCCTACCAACTCACTGAAAATGCACCTGACCCAAACTTTTTTCCAGCTATTTTGTATTATTATTTTTTTTAAGTTTCAAGCTTTCAGGATATTGAAACTGTTTCATTTTCGATTTTTGGTATTATCAATCAGTGACTTATAACAAGAGGAGCTTATGTATAGTAAGCCTATTTTTGTTAGTTAAAAAATATTTGAAAACTACATTTTTTTAAAATCAAAAAAAATACCGCCCATTCTAAAAATTTAGATTGGCAACTGCAAACCAAGAATTTTTTAAGTTTGGCCCTGGAATATAGGAATTGCCTTATCTGTCTGTTTATCTTCATGTCTAGATGACAAGTGTTGAGGAGGGATTGCCATGTCATGGCCATAACTTTGGAGAAAAAAAGCATTCATATGGCTTCTGCTTATATCTTACACAGAGATGGACATGACCATGGGTTTGTCATGACCTTGACCTGGTATTACTTTAACACAGTCTCCAGAGAAAATATTTTGTGTTATGACCTTTATCAGGTATTATTTAGACAAGGTCACAAGGAGATCTACCTTACCTATACTGGATTCTTAAATTTCTTAAAAATCCTTACAAACAAAAATACACTGCCTGGTCCAGCAATTGTTCTTCCAAGTCCCTATATCCTTACTCCTCACAAAATGCTAACTGCTGTGAAGGAGAACCATCAGTCCATTCCCCGCGATAAATTGAAAACTAGGCTTTTTGAAGTCATAGACAACTGCTTCTTCAATAAAAACCGAACTCGGAAATTTTTTATTTTGAGATTGGTCTTCAACAAAATTACTGTCTTAAAATTCATTCTGACTTTACCCAAAAGTACTCTGAAATTGATATTTAAAAAGAAATGATGGAGTTCTTCATTGACATCATCTTTGTAGTCTTCGATGACCAGGCCTTCATTAGCTGACCTGTTTTATATTCCTGTGAAGCAATTTTTTTTTTCAAAAACATCTACATGAGAAAAAGAAAACACTTGCAGTGGTCTTCAACTCCATATTCAAATATTTCGACGAGTTTTATCAATTAATAATAGTTACTTCCATTCATGTGTCCACTCGATATACTGTATGTGTACTTAAAAAAGCGGGCTTCATATTTTAGCGGCTTTGGCGCAGATAACGATGCGCTAATTAATGAATACCGCTAAGAAATCATTTATAAATATAATTTTATTTTAACAATCTCGCTTAAACTCAGCATTTCGTAAATTCTATAGTCGTTACAATGTATAATGACTTTGTTAGCAATTATAACCTATCACTGGGTCGTATGTTGGCTGATCTGTTTCACACTTATTGTTAGGCCTTTGTTTTTTACTAAATTTGACTACGGAATATCCCGTCTACCTGATCAATACATAGGGATCACGGCGGGTGTGATCGGCTTACTCCACCTTGGCACTTGATACCACCTCTGGAATTTCCAGGGGTCCGTATTTTATGTCCTGTTCACATATTTGTAATGTTTGTAGACTTATTTGAGATCGATCAGTTTGCGTTATCTTCACCTTTTTCATTTCAATAATTACCATACCAATGGCTCAACTCCTCTGATACTGTGTTGTCAAAGTTAGCCAAATTCTTTATAATACTATAATAATAAATTAAATAATACGCAACATATAAAACCTTAAGAATTTATAATAGTACTATTGATAATATATAAGATCTTTGTCAAAGTACTATGCAGTATTTTTATCAGACAGTAAAATTTTGCATAATTTCATTAATGATGTGTAAGCAATATCTTACTTTAATAAGTGTTTTTGATTGAATCTTTTACTTATTAATTTTTATGGCCATACAATGCCACTCCCGTACCTGTACCTTGAATATTGGCAAACGTTAAGGAAGCCATATGTAAGCGCAATAATATTTACTTATATAATTATAACTATAATACATCCATCATTAATTTGAAAATCTGGTTAGAAAATGAAATACATTACTAGATGTCACTAAATATAAAAATGAAATTTGAACATATAAATATACACATTCATATTTAGTAAGTACATATACTACTTCAGCGGACTTCTATTACTGTAAAAAAAAAATGAAAAGTGCTTGATTTGTAGGAAAGGGGCACTTGCATTTGCATGACACTGTGTCTGTCAACTTACAGTATCTGTATAAATGCATGTCTGAAAATCTAAGGAAGTGTCTTTGTTACTTGCAAGCCTGTTTTAATGCATTCGACTTTTTCCAATGGTCAAAATGTTCTGTGTTTGCTGTATCCCTGTAAAAATGACATTAAATCATATACATGTATCTTCTTATCTTGAATGCAGACGGTGTAACCTTTGATAGACGTCATACTGTGGTTCTTTATCATTTTTCCAGAGTCTTGAACAAGTTATCACTAGTACGTCCACAATCATATTGATGTGTGTCATCTCTTAATGTGATTAAATTTCCTAAATGTAGAACAATGGTTCTTTTCTAATCTCTTGTTACCTGCACAGAACGCAAAATTGTGACTGTGATCTTTTTCCGCAAACCAGTTCATAAAGCATGCACGGTAAGAATTTTCTTTTCTCATATTTATCATCAAGTAAATTCTCGGAAGATGCTATAAAATTCATATCTTTTTTATTTATTTACAGTGTATTTATTTATTTATTTTGGCTATAAAATGTCATATATGTGATCTAAAACATGTTTCTTACATGTACCCATCTTATGATTGAGTATGTATAATTAATCCCCTTCATTAGTATCAAAATTCAGAATAAGTGGGAATTTCTCAGACATATGTCTGCGTAAGTGCTATTAAATCATCTAAGGTATGAATTGAGTAATAATAGAACTCTTACCGCGTTTTCAGATTACCAGGTCATTGTCCTTATCGGTCTTTTGTCCATTGGTCTGTGTAAGTATTCTTATTATCTCTTTGTGATGGTATTACCACTAAAATGAAACATTTTACTAAGTACTTATACTGTACTTAAAAAAAAATTTCATGTAAAAATCCCACATTTCATACTTTGAAAGACTTAAATTTTTATATTTCATACTGAAAAAGCAATGTACAGAGAAACTGTCTTTCCCTATCAATATCTTATCCAAAAAGTGACGTTCTAGCCTGGTCGAAATAAAGTCATTTTAAATATAAAACGTAGTATGTTCTCCGATACTTCAAGACGTAACTTCTACATGTATATCATGTATGGGTCTTTTTAGGCTTAGAGTGTCATGTATGCTACTTCGCAACGGATCCAACTCTATGTCGACACCATGTAACATGCAGCTCTGGACAGGTACTCTGTTCAACATTATAATAGGAAACAATAAAAAGATCTTTAATTTCAATTGAAGTATAACAAAATATATAAATACCAGCATTTTGCTTTTTTCTTCACAACTATGTGTTGTTCTATGACTGTTAACTTTGTGTACCGTGCTAAGGATATCTATGTGCCTTGTACATGTTGTATGTCGCATTTAAGAAAAAAAGAAATCTTTTTAAAGGTAGTGAAAATGACAAGCATTATTTCATTCTTATTTAGCAACACATGTACTCTCTTGAAAGTGGATTTTGTATGTAATATTTTGTAAATTGAGTAATTCTCGTGATTAATTATCGATTATCTTAATGGTCTACTCCATTTACTTCTGAAAGTCATGTGGAAGACTGAAGTTCGAAGATTTCACTGGTCCTCACTATGATCTTGACTGCGTGGATAATTCTGTAAGTACTATAAATTATATACATACTATAAACTTGATTGTTTATAATAATAAAAAAAACAGCTAAAATCGCTGGTTTAGAAATTTCTTATGGAATTTTTTTCATCGTATATGGTATTCAAACCAAGATACCTTTGACACAATATATTCCTATTCACGATTTGGAAAATGTCTTCCTAACAAGTAAATCTTTCTGCTACGTTTATACCACTTTACTACAGACTAGCGGAACTTTCAGTTTTGAAGCTGTTGACTGTTTGTATGTATGCCTCTGCCGATTTTATTGTTTTGTCCTTCATGTTGAACTCTTTACTAAGTATACAGTTAAAAAAGATTGACTTTACTTCTGTCGTTCTAGTGGTAGGCGTTCGCTTCGTGGCCCGAGTTGATTATCGTCCTATGCCCTTGTCAAACCTAAGATCTTAACATACATGTAGGTAGTGACTGTTCCTTTGTCAAGTGCCTGGCATAAGTAGTTAAAGTCAGGGCTCTTTCGGATGAGACCTTAAAAATCAAGGTCCGGTGTAACGGTAGGCGTTGGCACAATAATGTACCCTCAATGCTTAATGGCCCTGAGTGCCGAGTATAAGTCTAAATTTGAAGCCCTGTGGGTAATTATATGTATACGTTGACATCTATATGTGAGTGAAAAATTCTTGAATGTGACGTCAAACAACATAAAATCAATTAATTAAACTGTCGTTCTTATAGAGGTGTCGAAATGTTGTTCAAACTCCTGAATCAGTTGGTGTATTTGGCAGACGAAGGGCTGTATCTGATGTTGAATGTTGTCATACAGATCTATGTAACAGAGATACGTCACATACAGGTAAGCATGCCACATGTACTCTAGATATCAGGTGGAGCCATTAATACTCAAGGTTTTCAAAGTCTTGATAGTATGCATACAAATTAAAGAATGAGATTTACAGAGTCTCAATACTTTGTATAAAAACTGTCTATATTATAACACTGGAAGTGTGGAAAAACACAGTTTTTCTTCTGTTTAATTTTACATCCATTTTATCATTTACAAATAATACGACTGTGATTCTCATATTAATTCTTTAAAATAGTGTTCAATGAATTTATGAAACCTAGTCAACGACACTCATACATTGTTCCTTTCAAAAGTCATCGAAGTATGTGCTATGACAGTAAAATTGCAGGCTATAGGTGTCAGCACACGTGTCTTGATATTGGCTAAATTACTGTCAAATATCTCATTGATATCTCAAGTGGTAGAACAGTTATCGCCAAAATGATGCTAAAATGTCAGGAGTGCAAAAACATTTGTGACATTTTTAAAATCCCCCTTTTTTGAACATCGATAAAAGAGAAAAGTAATAGACTATGTTAGAAGTAAATGCATTCCTGATAAAATTCAATTTATTGATCATTAATATAAACTGTAGTTAATTTGTTTTAACAAAGTTACGGTCACAGATATACTGAAAAAAATGTTACACCATGTCAGGAGTGGAACGAAAAAATGTGATGTTGCCAAAAAACATTTATTTTTGAAGACCTGTAAGGGAATTGAAATTTTCAAAGCGAAAAAAATAACTGATATACCATATACATGCATTAAATGTTTCGTGAATAACAAGCAGCATTTAAAGTCAAACATATGTGCATACCCACTCATGTCAATTGATGATTTGCTCTCCATCTTATAAAAAACTTTTATCAGTATATAAGTTTTGCTTTCTTTTTTGGAAAACAAATCCCCAAAGAACATTTTTACTCTATTAATCTTTTAGTTACAGGATCTGTCTGTGTTTCTGATCTAAATTTCAACGGTCAGGAGTGCACCACATTTTTATTAAAAGATATAAGATCCAAGACGAAATTACTCCTCTTTTACTTATTATCATAATTTCATCAATTAGCATCTAATTGATTAATTTATACATAAATCTATGGTAGTGTTATTATCTGAAAATGTGTTTAGTTTCATTAACCAAGATACTGGTATTCTTTCTTCTTTTTTTAATTAAAAAAGAAAGAACTCCAAAAAAAATAATAATTACACTGAATAATTACGACACAATTTTAATGTAGCACATGAAAAATTTAGTTTATGCTTCAAACCTCTCCTTTAATGTCTTATAATTTCATGGTCGGGAGTGCAACAAAGACGTTAAAACAATGAATTATCAAGATTGTATTAATAAAGCTAAAGTTGATTGGCAGAATGTTTTTAGTGGAATTCATGTGCTACCAGTATTTCTCTCTAGAAAAATAAAATGCCTTATTATATACTTTTATCGCCTAAATACATGTAATATATAATGAGTTTGTTGTGTGATATTTATTAAAAAAATATCCATGATTTCAAGTCATGTTAAAATAACTTTTACGCTTTTTAGTCAAAAACTATTGGACTATAAATGTTGCAGCATTTCATTACAATTTAATTTTGTTAACACTTTATGAATTTTAGTGGTTCATATTTTGTTTTGCTTTTAATTTTCAGTTATACATTTGTCAGAAGTGCAGCAAAATGTTTATGTATGATTATGATTATGTATGATTATTGAACTTTATATATCTCAATACAAAATAAATTGCAGGGAGTGTTTAATTGGTACTATCTGTAGTTTCTATTAACAAATTGCAATCATTTTGGGACATTTGTGGAAATTGTTGTAATTACATGCATGCACATGTACATGTACTTAAATCAGATTGGCTTATACTGATTTTGCTATATAAATGCGTTGCTTTTTCCCAATATACTTTGAAAAATAAGTTGTAAAAGTCTATGATACAAAGCTTTTGCCTAATTCAATGAAGATTATAGGGAATGGGGCACCAAAGTGATGTAGGGGGAGCATTTGAGGAACATATGTAACGGTGTCCGTTACAATTAGAACTACATGTAGTTTCTATTATTCCTCCTTATGCAAAAGAAGTCAATATAAAATTCCAGAGCTCAACCTTACAGATAATGCAACTTAAAGGAAGATCATTTCGCTGAAGTCATCCAGTTAACAAAAATGTAAACATTTATTCCATTTAAGGAAATAACATACCTTGGCTTTGAACATCTTCAGAGTATACATTCAACACCTTCCTTACTCAACCACAAAGTGACTGTATTCACTAGATCGTAATCTTGTGTTCCAGCAGAACAAAGATCTACTACAGAAAGCCCAGGAAATTTATCAACAGAGCTTCTAACAACAGTAACAATACCCCCTTCTACTGCATCTGAAGTCCAAACAAGCACATCGGACAACTGCTCAGATCACCCAGACTGCGATATCCTCACCCAGGGCTTCAACGCTTGCAACGATAGTGATATTGCGCTCATAGTTTGCCGAAGGTCATGTGGCATGTGTGACGTCACAACAACTACACCACTCTGTAGTGATGCACACCCAGATTGTCAGATCTTGTCAGATCATTTAAATGTTTGTGAGAATAACAATTTTGCGAGAACAAGATGTCCTTGGACTTGTGGTTTATGCGGTAAAATGAAGGAAACTTTTTTTTTAAATATTGTATTATTTGACTTAAGTAAATTGCATAAATTCAATCTTAGAGTAAATTTGAAATACTTATTTCAAACTTTATGACACTTTTCAAAAAAAAAAGTTTGAAACTGTCTTCTTTATTTTGATTGATAGACAGAAACAACTATTCACCGTCGTACAAGTATATTGTTTATTTGTAGATTCCAGTCCCTCTTCCACCATATTTTCGACAGTAAGTCCAACAACTGAACAAAAGTCTGGGGCCTGTGAGGATGGACATGACTGTGAACTACTGAAAGAATTAAACATCTGCGAAAACCCATTGACAGCGCAACTATGTCCCGTTTACTGTGGCATTTGTTTAAATTACACTCAAAATTCAACAAGTAAGTAGAAGTCATGTACTTTGCTCACTCACAGTACAAACTTCTTGGAAAATTTTTACTGCTATATTTGAAATAAAGACTGAATCTATTCTTGTTAACATTATCTTTCAACAGTCCTAACTGTCTCCATGCCATTTGTTTTTAATCAAGTTAAAATATTTTTATTGAAAACATACAAACCTATGCAAAATGTACCAACGATACGATTTGAAGTTTAATAAGAGACCCATGGGCTACAAGGCTCATTTGATTTACCTCTGTCCTGCTGTTCTTCAGAGTAGAGTTTTAAAAACTACTCCTGAAAAAGATTTGTTCTATTTTTTTTTTTTTCTTTGTCTGCTGTTCTTCAGCAGATTTATTTTTCCCCTATAAAATATCATGCAATGCCGTCAACGTGGATATTTATGCGTGTTGTTAATTACGCGAAAAAGAATCATGCAAATTACGCGTGAAGTTATTTCCGCAATAACAGATCTCTGCGTTGTTATGAATAAAATATATATAAAGGCATCGGTACTCTGGGGACTTTTACTTGAACTTTTTCTTATAGCCTATTAGTATTTAGCGTAAATTATTCCCACGCGTAAATTTCATCGTTTATATTAACCTGGTCTCCTGTTATGGCCCCATTCTATCCCTAAGTTTGATATTATAAGAAAAACTCACCTGAACTTTCAGCTTAGGTGAAATAAAAAGTGAATTACCAAAATTGAATGCTCTTGTAAGAAAATGAGGGGGAAAATATTGTATGAAAAGCTAATCATTAAAAAAAAGTTATCTTTATTCTTCGCTTTACACGATACTTATCATTGTGATGGTAAAAGGTACGCAGTTCATCTTTATTTCATTTTGTTTGTTTGTCATGTAACAACTTTTCAAAACGCTTCTCTTCCTAAAGTTTACTTGTGATTTCAATGAATCTCGGTACAAGTAGACAACACCCAGGATCTGGATTAGGTACACAAGTATCGATTTTTTTTTAAAATTTGAATCATGTTGCCATGATAACTATTAATATATTTTTCCTAAATTGAATGAAAATCCATTACAACTGTAATTGTCCATCATCTGACAATTTTGGACCATTTTCAATTTTAAAAAAAAGACTAAGATATCATAATTATGCTTCCTTTTCCATTCTGATGAAAGGTATTTTCGGTTACTAAAATACGAGGATTGATCAAAAGATATGTCACCTGTTAAAAAATCTTTAATAACAGGTGATACGTCATCAAAATTTAACAAACTACAAGATACTTATATCTTTATTTATTTTCGACTGTTGCCTAAAAATCTCCTTTAGACACGTGTTTGCCATGTTATGTTTAAAGAAAAACCTTTGAAATTATTTTAAAAGTTAACTTCTGCAACAGTTCTGATTTGATTTTAAAACTTCTTTAACATAAAATGACTTCCACGATAGAAGCATTGTATATCTAAATATTTTTTATTGATTTAGAGAAAACGCGTTATAATAGTTACATGTACAAAAATGCATTACTGACTTAAATTTCTTTTCCAATCATTTAATATGTTGATATAATATAATCACAAAATCGGAAAAAACAATCTACTAACATACACGATACTTCAATTGTAAGACTATTTAAACTTTTAACCATGCATTCTTTTTATCACTATTTTTTCTTCTTCCAATCAGTATCCACTCCCTTTTCGCAGACAACGACGACAAACATTTCAACAACACTTACATCCTTAGGAGAAACAACAATAGAAACAACTGAATCAACAACAGCGCAAACAACCACACAACCAACAGAACACACAGCAACACAAACAACAGGCCTAACAACAGAGGTTACATCTACCACATCTACTATGACAACTACAGAAGGTTGGTACGTTTATGATACGCGTGATGTCCTGTTCTTTGATTTTTTTCAAACCACTACGGTGATCCTATTACTATCCATTCTCTCTTACCCCCTTACTCTAAATGGCTAATCCTAGGATCTAATGTTATCCTGAGAATTGGGAACAAAACCTTGAAAATTAAAATCAATGTCGTTTTCATGAAAGTAATTGACTCTCAAGAGGGCAATCTGCATGCATAAATATATAAACCAAATATAGAACATATGTAAATACGTCTTGTAGATATACCTTGTCAAGATACCGTTCCAACTGCAATCTGTCAACGAATACTAAATCAAACTTCCACAGCCTGCTCCGAGGCAGCCACACAGGCAGTGTGTAAACTGACATGCAACTTGTGTGGTTTGTAAACTTTTTTTGGTTTAGACGTTATGTTTTTCAAGACTCTGAAGAAGCTTTTTCTTCTCATTGATTTGATAAAAGATATTTATTATCAGTTGATTGATATGCCGATTATGTGAATAAATTTATCTTCATGGTTATCTGGATTTTTTCGATTGTATACATTCAAGATGCACATCACATCCTTACTGCGTATAAATTTTACAGGAAATGTCACAGCAGCTTCATCCATAAATACATCAATCGGTGGTTCATCTCTTGAGACTACGACTTCAGTCTCTCGTAAGATTAGTTTGTCCAATAGATAGACAAGAATGTTTTAATCCTAATTTTTCTAACATTTCTCTTTATATGATTGTTTTATATTAAAAAGATTTAATTTCAAACATTTCAAATCAATTTCTCTGTATATTACTATACATGTATTATGTTAAAAAGATTTTTTATAAATAAATGCACTTTACTTTATGGAAGATATTTATAAATCCTGTTTTTCCATAGAAAATTCTCAAAGAACCACAACAGAAACTGGAGGAGAAACAACAATTACGGGGGTTTCTTCACGAATCACTACTCGTAAGACAAATTCATATTATAAGTTTCTGTGAAAAGAATTTGAAGTATTTGTAAGGGTTTTCATTTCCACTCTGTTTTAGTGATGATTTTATTTGTATTGTGAAACACAATTACAAATAAGAGCAATAAGATCTCTTTTTCATAAGTGTACCTATTTTCACGATTCCTTGAAAAATCATTATCAAAAGAATTTTTTATTTACAGAACCCATTCAAACAACTGTGCGTACGACAACGACAACCATGGTGTCAGAAGTGGGGGTTGTGGTGATAGGCTAACATGGATGTCGATCTTCAATGAACATGTATACACGTGCAGAAATAATATACATATGAAAATCGATTTGTATCAAATAAATAAAGCTCAAGCCTATAAAACGAAAATCTTCATTCTACAAGATATTGCCAACAACTGATAAAGTTTTAATCTATGCTTTAATTGTTTTTTTTTTTCTCATTAAACTTACTGCATACTCTTACTTACAGCTTTAAGTTATTTCTCGTCTAAAGGACAAGATAGGGTAAGACCCCTTTTTGGCCCCTTATTTTGGATGTCTCTATGAACGATGCAATAGTTCAGTATTAAATACATGTTGTCATCATTGTTACAAAATAAATATTGACTTTAAGTTATTGGACACACAAAGGTCACAGGAAGGTCACAAAATTATGCAAATTTCCGAATTTCCTCATTTTTATGCAAATTTTCATCAATTTCGAAGCACATTGTGTTTCAGAAAACATAGTGCACAAGCTTGCCTATCTACCAAATTTATATATTTCATGCACTAGTATCAGATGCATCTTGTCTAAAAAATCTCAGATAGGCAAGCTTGTGCTCTATGTTTCCCGAAGTGAAAAGTATCTCAGATTTAACGAAATTCCGCCAGAAATGAGGAAATTCGGTAAAATGTCCCACTTTGGTACAATCTTGGGGCCTCTGTGTATCCTTTGAATCAAAATTAATGCTGGTTTTAAAACAAGCATCATTTAAAGTTCTTAACTGCAAACTATCACAGTTTTAACTGTGTTTTGATTTTTACATCGAACAGGGGACCAAATTCGGCTGTTACCATACCTTGTCCTTTGACCTACATTCATTTTCTGGAACAAAGGGATTTGTATTATTTAATTGACTAAATAAAAGTTACTTTAACAATGTAATTCTGTATCTCTATAGATCAAAAAACTCACATTAATACTTTCTGAAAAAATGTTCAATATTCACCAACGGATATGCAGGAACAGATATATCAATGTTGATAGCTTTTAATTTGATATTTCAAAGGAAACAAATTTGAAAACACTTACGGAAAATTTGTGATTTTTGCGAGCAAATTTCAAAACTAGAAGATACAGCAATAAAATTATCACAACATTCCTTTTGCAAATAATATTTCAAATCTTAGCGTTTATTAGCCCTGCACAAATACAGTCAATACCCAACAAAAACCGAACGTGCACATATCTAAAATATAGATACACAGATTTGTGAGATTTCAAATTTGAACTCTTTAATAACAAACCTGTAAATAAAATGAATCAGAAAACAGACATCACCATTTTACTAGTAAAATCAATTGCAAAAGATACTTTTACAGTACTGTAATGAAATAAATAACATGAAAAAAAAAATATCGCGACTCATTGAGTATAATTAAAGGTAGCATAAATATAACTTGTTGCTTCTGTAACGGTTACAGATCACCATTTTTCATATATTGTAACTTTACCTGACGTGTCATCTTATGACCTGTAACGAGTAAACCTACTGGGTTCTACAAGGGACAAGGGTTGGTTTGAATATATTTTATTGTATAATTAATATACAAATGGTTTGAACACAAGTTCTAACAACTTACGAGGTTCTCACCATAGAGGGTTCTTTATATATATTTTCCTCTTACTCTGAGTTGTGATTGATTGGATCTATGTACATATAATTTAAAATGGTAGGCCGTGGTTCCAGAGCAAGGTAACCTGCACTGTGTTCCTGGAACAGCCAGAGTTCCTATTGTTCTGTGAAGTACCAGATTCTTTCACCCTTATTCAGAGTTACTTCGCCCCGGTACCTCACCACAATTCCTCTAGACTGCTCCCTTTCCACTAGTGTCTTACTTCTAACCTTTGCTCTTTATTTCTTTATTTATTCTTTATTTCTTAAAGAGTGTCTTTATTACCTCTCGTCTTCAGCTTTCTTCTGTGTGTTCACAACTACTGATTCTGTCATAAAAAGGCCTGGCATCTGCTAGCGTCTCCTTTTTTACACTTGGCTTATTCTACCTACCAGAGGGGTGATCAGCCTATTGGATGAGTCCATTTTCCAATATCCCCTCACATTCATTGATGATAGGTATAGCCAAATACGCTACCCATTACAGACCTTACATTATGATAGCACAAGCTGCATATACTTGTACATGTGTATAATGTCATAATTTGTAATTAAAATTTGTATGCCATTGTCTGAAACACGAAAAGTTTGCAATGTACTTTTAGAAAGTAAATTGTTTTTAGATTGTAAATATTTTAGTAGTATGTAATGATGATATATATTTTTTAATTTATATATTCCTCCAATACCTTATGTGAAATAATCACTTCTCTCTGATAATTAAAATGCATAGAATGCTTAATCAATGTATGCATGTTATGAAGGCAGTCAAACATTCCATTCCACCTTAGTCATTTTCAGCCCTTGCCGATCTGTTCCGTTCTAACGTAATCAACGTATTTTGTTATAGTAAATTTTCATTCAGATGTTGTTTGCCCCCTCCTGCCCACTTCTTTTTGTTGCTGTAGGGTTGAGCGCTGGCAAATTCCAGAATTTGAAAAAAATGTACAAAAGGTGAGAGAAAGGTCCAGGTCCCAGCTGACAAGGCATCTAACAACATAGTTTTTGTTTGTAAGTCTCATTTTTTACAATTGTTTTAGAGGATTTTGGTTTTAATTCTACAAGTGGTAATCCAACTTATATTTACAATCCCTTTCAAAGGAAGAGATTCTTCAAAATCATCAAAAATCATCAAAATCATGTCAGTATTGAATTTGAATTAACATATCTATACTAGATTCCGAAGCTTCATACAAAGATACATAGCGGAATATATTAAATGTTCTAAGAAGCATCTTTCTTAACTCTTTAAGCAAATTTAAAATTAACAATAGTGGAGAAGAAACTTCAGCACTACTGCCCAACAACATATTTGTAAAATCGTGTTAATTTAATGTTGATAATTGAAAACTCCATAGAAGTTTTTAAAAAACTGAAATCACAATTTTCCCCTATATGACAACAAAACGTAAACAAAAAACAAAACCAAACAAACAAACAAAAAAACACTATATGCAACCATTTCTCGCTATAAATTAAATTTGATTTCAGGGTCCAGGCTATTAAAAGCAACATTTTGCTCCTACCTTGTTTGTATTTTTTCTAACGATTAAATAAAAAGAAAAAAAGGTTTTATAATGACAATCCATATCTGTCTCATTAATTCAATACTTATATGGTTTGCAGCATTAAACACATCTTTCACTTTACAGTTCTATTTTAGCTAAATTGTATGGCAGCTAGAATTGGCCTGATAGGTTTACATTTCTTTACATTTGTTAAGAGTACAAATCTTAATACACATTTAAATGTAATGAAATGGCACGACAATAAGTTTTAATATCTATATCAAATTAGATATAAGAATACATTTTCAAATCTCCAGCATGCAGTTACATACATGTACAACAGAAATTTAGGAAATGTTCAATTATTCACATGGAAGTCATTATCATACAAGAATTGGTCTATTTCGGTCGGCAGGGCATACTCACTCCTCCATGGCACCTGACCCCACCTCTGATGTCTTAGAGGTCCGTGTTTGCTCTACTCCTATTTTGTAATGTTTAATGAACTTTTGAGCTCGAATACTGTTCCTTATTTCCAAACATTACATCTATTTCGAAAATTAGATACTCTACCGGTTGTGCACTTACCTTCTGTAATATCACTATTTCAATGACAATAAGATGTCAAGATCAAGACTTGAAGACTGAGTCTCCTAAAAGATAAATAAGGAAATTTCTTTTATCAATTTTTTTTTCTTTTTATAATAAAGAATCAAATTAAGAACACGCCTTCTTCAATGCATTATGATAATTTTGTAGTTGTTGTTGATGTAATTTTAAACTCTGTTCAGACAATATAATGTTATAATAAATTATTTTTAATTAATTTCTAATCCGTTAAAGTCAATGTCAGTATGCGT